TTTTTTTTTAAATTGAAAAATAGACCCATTCACGATTTAAACGCGCTGATAATTTTATTAATGTTGATGTAGTAAAATAAGTCTGAGTAAGTGAGAGTGTGGTAAAATAGACCGAGGCTTCCAAATGACAGTTCAGTTTGGCAGTTCCGGTCAGCCATCTTGGATTCCCTATTGAAAAACTTTTTGCGTGCCTGTTGAAACACCCTTTATAATATTATTCAATATTTGCACATGGAAATATCTCGAAAACGGCTGGATAAATCGGCAAAACGGACCATGGTGACACCCGGCTAGTTTGATGGCCCATTATACAAATCCGATGAAATTTCAGCCATGTTATGATTGTATTGCATACAGTATGCAAAACGTGTATACGAACGCATAGCAAATGAAACGCTATGTGTATATCCGTAGTCAATGTGTGCAAATGTATGAATCCTTTTCTTGTGTATAGGGAATCTTATCATATGCACTTAAGAGATTATGAGTTTTAATTACCATTTGAAGAGATATGAGCAAAAATGTTCGTACGGACGTTACTGGCGGTGACCGTCATAATACCGTTTTCTAGATCAGCAGTGGCCAATTTTGCCATGGTATATAAAATCATCACTTTCTTTGGAAATTTTAAAAAAATGTACTTTCTTTATACTATGGATTTGCTTATGCATAATCATTTAAATCAGGCTCTCATCGCCTATGCATAACACTAACAAAACAAAGTAAAACACGAATTTGCGATGAGCTCATTCAGGAAGTTTATTTCAATTCGTTTACGTCGTTAAGGTACCATTTCCTAGCGGCCGATTTTTGTCGCCGATTCAAGAGGGCTATTCAGAATTTTGGGTATATCTTCTGAGGCACTGAACGGATTTTAAATTTTTTTATATTTTCTGAAAGGTGTAATCATCAAGTATATTATTTTAAAATTCATCAAGTGGTTCGACAAATATAGCAAAAATGCTGAAAATCGGTCAAGATGGGACGCACTCATGAACGCGACTGAATGAACTCATCAACAATGTTCTGTAATGAAAAAACAATTTTTTTACTTATAAAATTGATGTGTGCTACGCTCACAGATTAATTCTATATCATAAAATTTGGGATTCGGTTATTCCAGTTCTTGTGGGTGCCCGATGCCTCATATTTGAAATTGAACTAAGTCTGCATTTATATTTTCCAAAACCGTAAAATTATTTAGTATGAATGCCATATGTTTATTTTTGGTAGTATATAATCTAAACTTATAAATCCTTACCAACCTTATTTCCTATTTCACCATATATCTACATTAATAATTTATACTTGATCCCGCCCGGTTCAGTTTTGACAAATTGGTTTAATTTTGACGAAACCTTTGAGTAATTGTGTATCATTTGTCCCAAAAGTTGCAAATGACCAACAATCTTCCTGAGGCGCTGCTTCTCAAGAATATTCCAAATCTAAAGAAAAGTTGATTATTAGTTCTATTTTTTTCTTTCTTTCGAAAGCCAACGCGACACCATCGCCGAAAATTCGATTCGGTCGGAGGGGCAGCACGTTTTCGTCCGTTCGATTGTCGCAGAAAGTGTATGTTACTTTATACCTTTTGCTATATTCTTGTCATTCTGACAAATGTTTTTTTCGAATATTTTTTTAGCCCGTCTAATCCTATCAGACGAAATACAACTCGAGCCCGGGGGAGAAGTTACAAAAAGGATAAGGTAAGCCTGATAAAGACTCAATTAGATCGAACGATTCTTAATAAAATAATTCATACTATTTTTAGCATGTGATCGTAACTGTTCCAAACACACCAAATTCTGTCAACATAATGCCAAGCGCTTTTAGATTTGATCAAGCTTTGAAGAAACAACATACTATATTTTAATGTATTGAATATTGTACATTTCATGTGTATTTCTATATGAGAGCATGTGTGATCTTTATTATATTCCTTCAAATGAATTATAATTAAATTGAATAGAATTGAACACGTGACCACCAAGCGCCATTTCAAAGAACCAGAGCGCCCAACTGCCAAAACAGAGTCTAATGTGAACAACATATCTTTCACTCTAACAGAAAATTGCACTCGAACGAGTCAGCGTGGCAATTAATGAGAGGCAATGTTTGACAGCAGAGTCCGTTCAAATGTTCTTTTACCATACATGACAAGATTTCAGAATTATTACGTTTTTTCGTCCCCTTTTATATTTTCAAACTTGGAAGGGCACAAAAATAACTTGAACCAGGGCGTCGAAGGAGCTCGGAATGGCGCTGTGTCCACCAACAATACATTTCCAATACAACGTCAATACACTATATGGCGGCCCGGAGGACGACTGTTCGTGGCACTTTTTTTTCGTTGTAGCATCAATGCAAATGCCAATATAAAATAAATAAACATGTCGAATAGGTTTAGTTATGTTCAAAATGGTTCATATGATTCTAACTGTATTAATGTATTATAATGTTAAACAAAAAACTTTTGAACAATTTGGAACAATAAAAAAATTTCAAAAGTTTACTACTATACAAAGAGAAATATTTGCGAATGTGGAGTTCGACTTCGACGTATTTTATGCAAAATGCAAGAAAAAATAGAAATACGCACCAGTATTAATATATCATTCATTTTATCTTAGTAAATTACTATATTTTTACAGCTCCACGGTTTCTTGACAGTTCCTGTATAAAATAGCTTCGAAGTGCCAACTGGTGCTAGCGAGTGAACTACAAACACTTTATATGTACTTTTTACCATTGTGTTGACTACAACACAGTGGAGTGCAATGGTAATATACATTGTATCGTATGGCAACACCATACGAGCGATTGACAGTGGCTATTTGCTGCCGTCATTTATATGTGCAAGTTAGTATTAAGGAAACTGCGGACAGAGGAAGACGGATAGAATAAACACTTGGTTTTTTATATATTTTTTCCAAGTTTAAATTGTTTGAGTTTTATTTCACATTTCTACTTCCAGCATTATACATTATGGTCCTTCGACTGTGAGATAGCGATCACAGAAACCGTGCTCTAAGTTTTGTGTGATTTGAAACAAAAAACAAAAATAAAAATCATATCGGATAGAGAGGAAAGAATTGGATTCTTATTGAATTCAATATGGCGGACAAAATTTTTTCATTTCGTATGAAAAGAAAAAATGGATCGAACGATAATTTCGTTCCCTGTGTTTGAGTGTAGCAATAGGAATTGCAAAACAAATACACTCAAGCAACTGGAATATTCACATAGGAAAGAGCACAACAGTGTGACAGGAGTCACATGCTGAGCACACACAAATGAATGTACACTGGTGAATGCGCGGCGAATTCGCTAATACGAGAACCGAAAGAGAATGGACAGAGAATTAGCAAGAATCGGATAAGTGTGCGTGTGACAAGTCACACGGACACGCGTTCATTGCAAGCAAAGGAGAGACTCTTTCGTGTGCCGTATATAGTGATAGAACTGGAGCAAACCGCACGTATTTCATCACAGTGAGAAAAAACATTCAACAAGTGTGCTCAATTGGAGTAAATTTATCAGAAAATCAATTCTTATTAGTTTTCATTGGTTTTCTTTTGGAAAAAAATTCAATTTTAATATTGATTATTGGATAATCTTTCGGAATGTGCCCGAAAACACCGAAATCAACCAAAAACAGGAGTAAGTATATTTCATGGAGAAATTTACAACGGATAGATAAAAAGTGCTCAGGATAGAGTAAAAATTAAATACAATGGACAGTTTTTCATCAGGATAGAATTCAGTTTTTATTAGAAAAGTGAATATTTAGGAAAGTTCAATCTCAAATGAATGTGAAACCGTTGTCATGCATACAGGAATGTGCAAGCACGGAGAAACGGCCGTGTGCTGTTACAGTTCTCAGAACTGAAACGCTCGGTTGTTTATAAAGTCGTAAATTAAACCATAACGGTTCTCGTGTCGACCGAGCTCTGTTGTGTGAATTTCGGCTGGAATGGATTGTGACTCACACAAAAAATGTTCAGTGGAGAACAAGGAAAAAATTGTGTGTGTTTGGATTTGGTACAGTCAACAAAATCGGATCAAATGTATGCATACAGTTTTGAAATGGGAATTTCAAATTTTGATGACACAAGTGTATCAAATTGGACAGAAGGAATGCGATCGCTTTGGACAGAATTTGTCAACCAACAGAGGTTACAAATGGAATTTGAAAAGGAAAGATTTATGTTCGCTTGCGCAAGCGGAACAAATTGACATGAGCATACATTGTTTGTGACTATGTCAATAGGAATCGGATTGGATAAGAGCTCAGTGGAATTTGAATTCAATGACAATTGAACAAGAATTCATATGGATTACAATTGCATGATTAAATGCATTCGGATTTAGACTAAAATGGAAATAAATTAGTCGGATCAACGGATTTAGATCACAATTCATGGGATTGAACATTCACTGCATTAAAATTTGCATTTGGAAGAAAAATAAAAATAAATTAGGAAAGTTTATTGGACTAATTGGAATATTGGAATTTTTTTTTGGATTATTTTAGCTAAACCAACGCAAACGCCTGCAAGGACAATGACCGATGCTGCTGCACATTCAAGCACCACAGTGACACAGTCTACAGTTGCACCAATTGTATGGACTGCTGTATCACAGCCGCCAGCAGGAGCGGGCAGCGCAAATGTGCAAACGACAGCAGTAGCAACAACAAACAACGACGTCATTGTTCAACAAAATGCACAGCAATTACCGGCGCAAATTTCAGGCGATAATGTTGTGCTTAATGCCAATCCGCAGGAGCGACAAACTCAGGAGAGTGAGCATTCTACGAATTTCAAATCAGCTCAAAGCGCGATGGATCGCCTTTTGCGATTTGCTAATTCAGGCCAATTGGCAACGGTGAGCTATGAAGCATTGCAGGTGCGCATGGAACGTCTCTCGGAAATATGGGAAAAAGCAAACGAACACTTTGCAGAATTAATTAGACTAGTCGGTGAGGACACTGGTGTAAGAATTTCATACGAGGACGTTATGGGATTGTTGGAAGACACTTACTACGATGTGAGTGAAAAGTTTCGATCAAAATGGAACGAGTTGGAAAAGCTACGCATGCAAACAATGTCGCGAAGCAGTCCATCCAGTGAAGCAGGAGCTTCCGGAATCGATCGCCCAGTCAAAGTCATCATACCAATGCGACAACAGGATATTGTCAACACTTGGGGGACATTCGACGGTCGTGCCACGAGCTGGCCAGCGTTTCGTGATCTATTCACAATCGCTATTCACAACAACAAGGATGTTGAAGACGGATACAAATTGTCACATTTGTTGAAGTCATTGAAAGGTGATGCATTGACTACACTTGGAGGATATGTAACTAGCAGTAGTTATAATGAAGCGTGGGAACGCATGATGGCCGTATACAACGATCCATACAATATTGCACAGGAGTACATGCGGAATTTCTATCGACTGCCGAAGTTGCAAACACCAGCGAGCGCTGCTGAATTGAAGAAAATGTCGGATGTTACAAATGAAACAATTCGCCAACTTCGCGCTTTGGATTTGCCAGTTGAACACTGGGATTTTGTGTTCGTGCACAACTTGCATGAACGGATGGATGATGAAATTGGTCGGATGTGGCAAAGAGCACGTGCGCAAGGACTGCGAGCGACTGCCGTGGAAATGACGGATTTTTTGGATAGAGAAGCGGCAGCCGCCCGACCGATCAATGACAAACGGGATCAGTTGCAAGTGTCGATCAAGAATAATCAGATGAAGAATAAGTCAAATGATTCTTCACGTGCTGCATCACCAAAACGAGCAACCGGTGCAATACCAAAGAAGTACCCATGTGAAGCTTGTCCACCGGGAAGTGGCCAGTATCACCCGTTATGGGAATGCACGGAATTCTTGTCACTGAACATCAGTGGTCGGCGCGAATTCGTTAATCGTCGCCGCATTTGTGCCAATTGCCTTAAGAAGGGCCACACAAGGGATGCATGTGGTTCTATTTGCTGCCGATTGCCACAATGCCAGCGCGATAATCGACACAACAGTTTGCTTTGTCCAAACAAACAGGACAGCAAACGTGTGTTCAATGGAAATGCAGGAGCATACGGAGGAAGTAACGAATGACTAGGCGTGGCTCCTGCAAAAAGACGCAAAATGGATAAATCGGAAAAAAAGGATAAGAAACAGGATAGAAAAAGAGACAATTCAAAGACAGAAGGACAGATTTTCAAAGGAAAGATGGATATTGTCAATGAACAATTGGAATTACTGGATAAAAAAGGAAAATTATTGGCGGAAGAAGAGGAACAAGTTAGGAAACGAAAAATGGCTTTGAATTGTAATTTTGGAATTAAGGAAAAAATAAAGAAATCAAATCATTCTTCATTACCATATAAAAATGACTTTGATTTAGAATTGAAGGAAAAGGATACATTTCTACCCACAGCAGTGGTAAGAGTAGCAATTGGAAAAGATCAATTTGTTAAAGCGAGAGCCTTTATGGACACGGGTGCGCAACCAAATGGCGTAACTTTTAGCCTCTTTAATAGCAAATTGAAGGAAACTTTGAACTCTATACCAATGTCCAGGAGGATGATAGGTATAAATGGACAAACATTTGAAATTCGTCATAAGGTAACTTTGAAAATTCATTCATGGTTTGAAGATGACATTTTTGAAAGAGCAGTGTTTTGGATCATGCCAAAAGATGCGTGTTGGGGTTTGTACATGCCTGATAAGAAAATGAATCCATTTAAAATTCAAAACACGAGTGATTTGCCTTTCGCTGATCCAAATTATTGGCAACCAGAACAAGTTCATCTGCTCTTTGGAGTCGGGCTGTTTGCTAGGATCATTGTATCTGTGATTGACAGGACAGTCAATGGAACAGCAGTCATGGAGACAAGGTTCGGAGTCATTATTTTCGGAATACATTCGGAAGATGATTTGAACGAACTGGAGGAAATAAGCATCGGACAGGCGAATGCATTGTCTGAATATGAAGACGGCATTCATTTGGATAAATTATTGGAAAGACTTTGGAAACAGGATCAAGTGCAGGAAGCACCAAAGTTAACGAAAGAGCAAATGGAAGTGGAAAGACATTTTGTGGAAAACTTCACACGTGATCAAACAGGAAGATTCACAGTGCGCATACCATTGAAGCCCAATATCACTTGTTTCGGAAGCTCAAGAGAAATCGCTTTGAAAAGGTTCATGTATCTGGAAAGAAAGTTTGCGCGGGAGCCAAACAAAAGGAGTATATATGTGGAGAAAATGCGTGAATCGATGCGTTTAGGACATATGGTGCAAGTCACACAACAAGCAAAAATGGATGAGCTTGTGTATCACATACCACACCACTGTATCGACAAGGATGATCGAGTAGTGTTCGATGCTAGTTGTAAAACGGATACAGGAGTATCTTTGAATAGCATTCAAATGTTAGGAGCAAAGCTTCAAAAGGATTTATACGAAACAATCATGCGGTTCAGGAGACATAGAGTTGCCGTATATGCAGACATAAGGAAAATGTTTAACCAAGTGCGATTGGCAAGAGATCAATGGAACTTGCAAAGAATTTTCTGGAGAGAAAGCTCGGATGAACCACTACGGGAGTATTGGTTAACAGTAGTCATTTTCGGAAATACTTCATCCGCATATTTAGCGGTCAGATCAGTATTGCAAGCAGCTTCGGAAGCAGGAGAAGAACTTCACGAAGCAGCGAAAGCAATCAAAGAAGACTACTATATGGATGATTGTGTCACAGGAGCAGACACAGAAGAGGATGCAATAAAACTTGCAAATGATATGGATACAATCCTGAAAGGAGCAGGATTTGAGTTGAGGAAATGGCAATCAAATAACAAAGCCATTAAAAATGCATTGGACACATCGAATATTGAAAAGGACATGCTTTTCAAGGAGGAAGAGGAATCAGCTGTTTTAGGATTGAAATGGCTGATTGAGGAAGACAAATTCACATTTGTAGTGAAAAACCCGGAATGGAAAGGAAAAGCTACGAAACGTGCAATAGCAAGTCACGTAGCCCAACTATATGATCCAAATGGATATATCAACCCAATCACCATCAGAGGCAGGATGCTGATTCAAGAATTGTGGAAAGCAAAAGTTGGATGGGATGAAGAGTTGGAGGATAGATTTGTAAACAAATGGATAGAAATTTGGAAAGACATTAAATGTGTGGAACATTTCAAGATTGATAGATGGCTTAGCACTGGGAAGGAAGCCAAAATTCAAATTCATGGCTTTTCGGATAGCAGTGAAAGTGCATATGGAGCTAACATTTATGTTAGAGTGGAAAGAATAGGAAAGGAAATAAAATGTAACCTGCTTACATCGAAATCACGTGTTGCACCAGTGAAAACCGTTGCTCTTCCAAGGTTAGAGCTGACTGCAGCTGAACTGCTGGCGAGATTAGTCAAGGAAGTCACAAAGACGATGGAATGGACAGATGTGGAAACGTTTTTATGGATAGACTCAAGTGTCGCCTATTATTGGATAAAAAAGGAACCATGCACATTGAAAACTTATGTTGCAAATAGAGTGGCATCTATTCAGGAGAATACGGATATAGGATGCTGGCGACACATTGATGGGACAGACAATCCAGCGGATTTGTTGACAAGAGGAGAGTCACCAACCGGATTAATTGATAATGATTTGTGGCTACACGGACCAAGCTGGATAAGATTACCGCAATCAGAATGGCCAAAATCCAGAGTCATGCAACAACCACCGGAAGAAGCAATATCCGAGGTAAAGGTAAACTCATTCAGTGTGTTCAGAGATCCGTTGAGAATAGGAATAAAAGGAACCAAAGAAAGTATTCCACTCATTGATCATGTGAGCAAATTGGAGCAGGCCGTGAACATCATTAGTTATGCAAATCGCTTCATACGGATTTGGTTAAGCAAAGGAAATTCAAAAACCAAATCTAGGCAAAAAAGGAAAAGGAAAGGAGAAATTGTGCTGAAAGTTGCTCCACCGACGAACGAGGAAAAAACGTTCGCAATGAAGCACTTGCTTAGGAAAGCACAGCAGGAGCATTTTAACAAGGAGATAAGTGCATTAAAAGAAAAACGGAAATTGCCGGAAAAAAGTAAGCTAGAGAGTATGAAACCAATTTTAGATGAAGATGGATTGTTGCGACTAGGAGGTCGCTTGGACAGATCGGAACTGGACTACGAAATGAAACACCCATACATCATTCCTCATGACTCTCGTTTAGCTCACCTGATAATGGAATACGCACATCGACAAACACATCATGGAGGGATTCAAGTTATGATGCAATTCATAAGACAAAAATACTGGATTTCAAAGCTTCGAAACGGATTGAGAAGCATCGTGCATAAGTGCGTAGTATGCTATCGGTTAAACGCACGTACGGAGTCGCAATTGATGGCGGAATTACCTAGAGAAAGAGTTACTACAGCAAAACCTTTCTTGTATACAGGAGTGGACTATGCCGGCCCATTCGATTTGAAAG